AAGTTAACGTCATCAAGATCCGTGGTATGAAGCTGCAGGCCACCAGCAAACTGCCGCACTGACGTGGCAGGAGGAGAAGCAGAAGGGCGTCCACCTGCCAACTACGCGCAAAGAACAGAGATTTGCCTTACTTCATCTGCCTGCAACAGGCCGCAGATCACAGACTTCCCTCAAAGGAGGCAGTGAGGAGGATGGTGCTGGCCTCTTTTCAGTGGTGACCACTGATAGGACTAGAGGAAACAGACAGAAACTAAAGCATCAAAAGTTCCACAGGAACTTGAGGAAAATTTTCTTAAAAGTGAGGGTGACAGAGCACTGGAACAGGCTGCCCAGAGAGGTTGTGGAGTCTCCTTCTCTGGAGATCTTCAAAATTCGCTTGGACACAGTCCTGTGCCAAGTGCTCTAGGTGACCCTGCGCGGACTAGATGACCTCTAGAGGTCCCTTCCAACCTTAAGCATTCTATGATTCTATGATTAATGAAAAATCATAGTACACTGTGCCACCTAACTGCTCCTGTGCTGAAAGCTCTTAGCTTCTCATCCACAGACCTATCTCCAAAAGTCTCTCCTCTCTCACTCCTGAAGATGACAGTTTGGGGAAGTTTTGTGGAAGAATTGAGGGAGGAGGTATAATACAGAGTACTTGTCTTGAAACAGAGCAAAGATCTAGAAATACAACTTCCTTTTGCTTCTCAACAAATGGGACTAAGATATAGCAGAACAGAGCCAGGTCAAGTTAGGTAGTAAAAGAAAACTTGCCATAATCATTTCCTTGTCCTAGAGACCTCAAGGACTTGCACTAAAAAGTCACATGGTTCTAGCTTAAGGACAGGAAGAAGAGAAGACCAGCTGCTTTTTTCAGTGGTGCTCCACATTGACCTGAAGGAAATCCAAGAGAGAGCATTCCCCAAAGGTCTCCTCTGCAGTTGCAATTGCTCAGTGATCCCAGGGGAGTTCAATGGATTGCACTGTTCTCCTGGAAGCAGCTGTTCTTGGAAGACAGCCCAAGCAGCAGCATGGTGGGAAAGCTGCTCTCCACTTGTAGAGCCATCTGGCTCTAAGACTCAATCAGTGTCTGCAACTCCCTTCATCTGAGGCAATAACTAAAAACATCTTTGGGAGCTTATCATCCTCTTATCAATTATCAGTTGATATCAACTACCAAAGCTTATCAAATCTGTGCTCATAATCCAACTATATGGACACAATAAAAGCATTCAGTAATAGTGATGCCCTTATAAAATACCATCACCCCTCTTAAGTGTGTGGATATTAAAGATTGTTAGTTGTTGGCTACTGTCAGCTCTTTTCACCCTTTGGGAATGAAGCCTAAGAAAGAAACAAGACAAATGTTCCTCAATTCTGTCTTGAAAAAAACGTTACTTATAGATGTTAAAACTGGTGAGTTATTTGGAGATTGTATCTTACATAGAAACGCCAGAATTTTACCTCAGGAGACTCATTCTCCACAGAGGAAATCTGTTCTAACCGTGTCTGGCAAAGTCTTTCCACCCAATGCTGCACCTTTTCCGATTCCTCCAAGTCTTCTCGTTCTGTCTCAGACACCTTAACCATATCACCAATTTGTGAAAAAAAGGTTAAAGATACAGTTACAATACAAATAACTTGCAAAAGTTGGGGTGTCATTTCAGTTTTCAAATTATGCTTTTGGGAATGACTTCCTATTTTGCTGTCTTTCATATATTACTCACTAAACATAGATGCTCGTTAAATGTAGAGGGATCCTTGTTTGGGCAAAAGCCAATTATAAAAACAAGCAAACTTGGAAAAAGCAACAAAGAATGATTCTTTTAAGCTTCATTATCCTTTACATGATTAAACAAACTTCCTGCTAAGATACTTGCACTGAAGATTCAGCTCCCTCTCCTTAAAACACATAAATATCAAATAAAGTTTCTAAAAGAGTTCTAAAGATAATCTCTTTAATTTTTTCCAATACACTGTTCTAAACTGTTTGACTTGGCAAGGGTATACATGTATACTTTTAAAAAATATTTAAGCTACATCCTCAATTCAACAGCAAACATTATTTTGCATTTGATAGCAGAATACAACATACCTCTTGAACAAGACGATTAATTTTCAGTTGCTTTTCTTTTTCCAACATGCCTTCTTTCTCCTTGGCAAGTTTTTGTTCAAATTCCATTTCTTTTTTATTTTTCTTCTGTTCACACAGACTGTCACTTTTTGATTTCTTTCGTTCTTTCCCTTTCTGAGAATTTTTTTTAAAGTTATTCAAACATTTACACCAGCTTAAAACATGGCAAACTTCAAGTTGGTACATGAGTACCTAACTTGGAAACTTAATTACAGTCTGTGTAAATATATAAGGATGGCCTTTTGAAAGCAATTTTAAAAGACATTTCCTCAGCATTTTGCATTAGTCGCTCTTTTTTTTGGAGGCCTACAGAGCATCACATAAGCTACACAAACCAGACAGTTCAAGTCTTTTGCTCCTCTAGGACACATAGGCCCGCTACATCGATTGAATAGTCAAACGGTTTTGGTTGTCTTAACTTATTATCTCTCTGTTCTATCATTATTGCATAAATGACAGACTGATTGCTTTCTGGTAACAGATGCTCATGTATAAAGTAGATGTTCCTACATGTAGAACACCTTCACACTTTGTATATGCTAAACACAGCATGACATGCCTTAAGAGAAATGAAACAAGCGAACACATGGAAAAGGCAGTTTTGTGCAGAAACTGAAGTGTTGCCAGGTAAGAACTCAGTATCATGAAAACAAAGCACACCAGCTGCAACCACATGATAAAATGTACTCAGGTGAGCAGCCCTAAAATTTTACACCTACAGTGCAATTTAACAGAAAAATGTCTTCATAATCTTTTTGAAATCTATGTTCCTATTGTTTTAGAAAACAACTGGCTCCCTATTTCTAATTTTATCAATCCCACATTTCTACTACCCTCCCCTGTTACTGCTGTAGGGTCTAGTTCATACTGAAAAGCCTACGTTTTGCTTTCTATCCTGAAAAACAGAGAGAAACAACAGGTCACACTGGACTGTTATCAATTCAGGCTTGATTTTGCTCAGCTCATCTTGTCAGCCACTGACTTTTCCTGATGGTTTGGTGAACTCAAAGCATGAGTGCTCTCCATCCTGCATGGAATTAGCTGTCATGCTCCTACCTTTTGCATTCCACATAGAAAGAAATGCCTCAGAAAACACTATTGTTTCCCCTGGTAGCTACCAGTTCTCCCAGGCAAGCAGGTAATTAGAACCGAATTCAATGGGATGTTATCTAGTGCTTCATGCTTAAACGTTGCTGATGTCAGAAAAAATAATAATATTAAGCAGTGAAAATAAATAAATAAATAAATAAGAGAGCCATGTCAAACACCTAAGTTTTCACCCTAACATTTTATCATTAACATCACACTCCAGGCATGCTTTCTGCAGAGCCAGTTAGTTAGTTTATATTTTAATTAGAGTTGCTGATGTCATTTTAATCTTCTAATAAATTAGAACATACATGTCTACAAAGTGTAACAATGTGGCCGAAGTACCTGCTAGATATCAAAATTTGAGAAGTGATTGAAAGTACTGCTTCATGTGCTTTTAATTAAGTCAAACTTCTTCAGAATATGAACACGTATCAGGCAATCCTAGCTGTATTCCTTGTGTTCAGATACATGAGGATGAGTCATATTTTCCATGTCTTTTCCCCATGGATTCTGTTTAATTCCTATTAAAGACTTTTCAGTACAGAAGGAATTTTTGTTTAAAAAACAAAAATTCATTTGCAATTTGGAGTAGGATAAAAAAGGTTCTCAGTTTTGTATTTTAAATTTTTTTCTAAAACTAAAAGAAAATAAGATTAAAAATATTCTTCCAGGCTTCTAGCCCATGTGGTTGGAGAGTTTAACAGGAATTCTTAATAGGAACTCAGGAATTCGAACTTTTGTCTGTGTACTTTTTTTCCACTCTTTTGAGGGTTTTTAGAGAATGCTGCCCACCTGTGCTGAAGATTACCTGCAGAGTACTGACACGCTCAGTTCCTGCTGCAAGGATGGGACTTAAAAATTCTTAAGTACTCAAATGGACAATTTCTAAGCAGTTGCATCCCATCTTAATTTTCGCATGTTAAATGACAAATGATTACACCATATGGCGTATCTAGAAGTAAGGGAAAAGGACAGAAAAAAAAAAGGCATTGCTATTCAAACACACAGCAAACTAATTTGCACACCAACAAACTTTGTACCTTGCGAATTGTAGGAAATTTTCCTTCATAACGATAAAACCATCCAAAAGCTATAAAAAGTTAAAGGAAAAGGTTTTTGTTGAAGAAAAGTCAAGCTCAGTACAAACCATGTCAATACATATAACTGATCAAAATTTATTTGAAGAAGCAAAACTAAAGGTCTGATAAAACATGAAAAGTCCCTCACTTTTTTGATCAATGTTCTATAGACATGTAGTCTCAAATTGCCCATATTTTATGTTAAGCACAGCAAACACCACAATAAATCTTCGTAGAAAACCACATATCCATGGTCACAATTCTACTATACATTAGTTGGAACAACCCTTCTTAAAAAGAATTGAGTTTTCAAATTCATTCAAGCTTGTGGCAGAAGACAATGACATTTAAGAGACAAGAAAAGCTCCATTCCTTTGGATGAAATATTTTGAGCCAAGTGCATATAAATCCTGCTAATTAAAAATGCATAAAATAATCCCTTATTATTATTTCATATAAGAAACATCAATGACAAGTTTTTCAACACAATCCACCTTTGTGTAGGACTGACAGGCTTTACATTCATGTCAAGAACTCCATAGAAAGCAGTGACCTCAACAATGCTGAAACCATTCATCATTTACCCAAGAACCACAGATACTGCCTTAGCCAATCAAATTATTAGTTCAGTGTCAAAACTGACTGTCAGGAGGAGGTGAAAGACAGGAAGGATCTGAATCATGATAGGAAGTTAGGGCTGAGCAGCAAACCTGTTTATCCTGCTTCATGATCCCTTCATCCATGTCATCTGCTGCAAGATGGTCATGTGCAATTCCCTTTAAATCTTCTAGAGAAACAAAGGAGGAAAGGAATGAGGAGACAGAAACGACAGTGTAACTGGAGGCTCCCATGAAATAAAGAGATTAGTACTGTGCCAGAGGGAGTTTCCATGAAATAAAAAGAAATCAATAATATGGTATTTTTAACATGAATGAAAAAACTCAGCTTGTGTGTACCAGTTACTGAACCTTCCTCTAACCCTCAAGAAGAGTCAGAATCAAGGCAGGTGGCTTTTCTCAGACATAAACCATCAATAGTTCTGGGATCTGCCTTCAAAAAAACCCACCGACCTCTACCATGTTGTCACTTTGTCAAGAACAGAGAAAAAAAAAGGGTTCTGAAAAGTCAGAAAACTAAATTGATGAGACACAAGGTAGTAGAAAAAGTATTTCCCTATCTCAGCTCTCACTCATAAATTAGTGACTTGTCCAAAGTCACACAGAAATACTCTAATCTGAAACCAACTCACATCTCTCCTGAGCTATATACTGCTCCACAAGCATTTCCTCCTTTTTGCTTTGCCATTTTAGGACAGTTTTCACATATTATAGCTATAGTTCCCAATTTAGCTTCTTAACTGCAAAGAAATCTGAAGGCATGTTAAATTCCTTTGGGGAGCTCAGTCAGACTTATACTTCAAGGCAATTTCTTGTGGGAAAAGTGTGGAAATGGAGGGAGACTCCTCAGTCTCATAATTCTGAAGCAGATGCCCAATGACATGAAGGAGTCTTCAGGCTGTGCGGACTACAGACTTGGAGATAAAGACTCACTGCAATGCAAAATGGATGAGGATAGAGAAGAGAAAAAAAAAAAAAAAAGCTTGGCAAGGTTAAGAGAATAAGCTTGAAAATCGTTCGGTAATCCATATCAGAAAATGAAGTTTTTTTTCCCTCTACTCTAATGGTTGATCTATTCAAGTTACTGAGAGAACCTCTGCACATATCACCTTATGGATACATGCCTGAATTTTTCAAGTTTTTGCAAGTGTGCTTAGCTTTCTCAAACAAATAGGTCACCGGGAACTTGTTCACAAGTTCTGCCTGTACCCCTTCATGCCTTGAGCGGATGAAGGATCTCACATATAAGAAAAGTCACACTCATCAGAAACCTCTGCCTGTACCCCTTCATGCCTTGAGCAGATGAAGGATCATACAAGAAAACTCACACTCATCAGAAAGTCAAAGTCAAAGTTAGCCTGGCTTGGATAT